GATATCAACAAAATTGTCCGACTTGGTGTTATGAAGCCGCTCAGGAAGTTTGGCGTGTACATGAGTTACAAAATTTTAGGGTCGATGTACTGGGGACTATTATGACATATAATTGTGTTTTATTTTACATTATTCAAAAAAAACAAAATATTTTTTATATATTATATAAGTTAAAACTTATTTTTTTCTATTTGCGTTCAAATAACGTGCGACCAAATGTCGTGCGTCCAATTAACCACGCGTCCATTTGTCGTACTCGTCCTTTTGTCGCGAGTCCAAATTGCTGCGTCCTTTTGACACGACACCATTTGAAACAAGGTACACGCAGCGAAAATCCACAAACTGAGATGTCGCAGCTTAGAAATATAAACAAATCTAGTTTCGAAATACGACTTTCGTTTAAATCGATGTTGTGAAAATGATTTGATTTGATATGTTATTGTCATCTATGATTGGCTACGTTCACCAGAGCCAAAACGGATTGTAAACATTTACCAACAAATACCAACAGATCAAGTTCTTTGTCTAAGAAAGCCAACACAGGTATCGTCCAGAAAGATTCGAAGTAGATTCTTCGACCAGCTCTTCTAGTCTGGAATGGACTCATTGGAAGAAGACATTCGAAAATTTTCTTGTTGCCAACAATCCTAAAACTGATGATCTCAGAGATGAAATTAAACTTCAACTTCTGGTAAATCATATAGCTCCTAATGTGTATGCATTGGTGAGTGAATGTTTAACATATATATGCTTCTGCTATAGCCATACTAGAGAAAGCTTACATCAAACCTAAAAATGAGGTCTATGCTACACATATATTAGCGACCCGCCAACAACAAGCTTCCGAATCTATAGACCAATATCCACAATCCTCAAACCTTTTAGCTACTGAATGTAATTTTCAAGCTGTTACTGCAGAAGATCATAAGAATGGCTACATCAGGGATACTTTCATAAAAGGCCTAAACAACTCCTCTATACGCACTCGATTGCTTGAAAATACAACCCTTAGTCTCAATGAGTCTCATAATCAAGCTCAATCTTTAGAAATGGCTGAAATTCTTCGTACAAAATTCTATCAATGCAACTTCAATTGATTATACTTCAAATTCTAAGTCAGACCATTCAAATCAAATCTTAGCTACTTCTACCAAGAATCTAGCGCAATGTTGGTTTTGTGGAGGATCACGTCATCCTAGATATCTTTGTCCAGCTTCAGACGCTACTTATCAAAAATGTTCCAAGAAAGGACTTTTCGCCAGAGTTTGTAACAGTAAAAAGCATGACTCTAAGACAACGTCAGCTTCCATCGTTACTGCAATTATCGAGACTGCAGCTTCGACAGCAGGATTTGAAAAGCTACAATTGATGCAAAAATTTGTGGACAACCAGTTAAAGCTCTTATTGACATCCAGTTTCATAAATGCTTCCCTTCTTGAGCAACTTAAGATTCCACAAATTCCTGCTCAGCAATGAGTAAATATGGCGTCAATATCATTGGTCTCTCAAGTTGAAGCAAGTTGTACTGTGTTACTAGAAACAAATACCCGTACATATGAAAACTTGACATTACTGGTTATGAAAAATCTTTGCTCAGATATTATATTGGGGCAAGATTTTCTACATCATCATTCTAAACTTGAGATGTCATTCAATGGAAGTCTGGATACTTTGAAAGTATTATGCGTTTTCATGCAAGCAGATATTACTCCTGCATCTCTATTCACCAATCTCAATAACACTTGCAGACCAATAGTTATTAAATCTAAGAAATAATCACCAGAAGATCTGAAATTTATCGAACAACAAATCCGGATAATTCTTTCTGAGGTATCATTGAAAAGAGTAATTCGCCTTGGAGAGCTCAAGCTTTAGTCACTTCCAGTATGTACAAATCATAAGAGACGAATGGTAAACAACTATGCCCAGACTATAAACAAATTCACTGAACTAGACGCATATCCACTTGCAAACATAGAAGACATTATTTCAAAAGTGTCAAGGTACCAAGTTTTCGGCACTATAGATCTAAAGAGTGCATATCGCCAAATTCCAATTCTCGAACATGAAAAACCTTATATAGCGTTTGAGGCGCGCGGCGAACTATATCAATTCACGAGAATTCCTTTTGGTGTTACCAATGGAGCTGCTAGTTTTCAAAGAGCTGTTGACAGTTTAATCAAGAAAGAAAATTTTCGAGGCACATATGCCTATCATGATGATATCACAGTAGGTGGTAAGACTCGAGAGACGCATGACAAAAATCTTCAAAAATTCTTCAAAGTTGCTGAAAAGTATAAACTTACTATAAACTCTACTAAATCAAAGAACAGACTTAGAAAAATAAATCTCCTAGGATATGAAATTGAAAATCAACAAATCAAAACTGGTCCTGATCGACTTCGTCCATTCTTAGAATTGCCTCCACCAGGAGATTATTCTTCATTAAAACGAGTATTGGGTTAGTTTGGGTTAGTTTTCGGATAAAATCAGACCAGTCGTACAAACAGAATCATTTCCTATGTCACAAGAAACTCTTATCGACTTTCAAAGCTCTGAAACAAGATATTTCAAAAGCTGTTGTCACTGCCATTGATGAAAATCTCACATTCACAGTAGAAACAGACGCATCAGACTATGCCATTGGAAGTTGCTTATCACAAAATGGAGCTCCTATAGCATTTTTCTCAAGGATACTTCGCGTGTGGCTAAATTCAGCTGGTTTAGGCACCGTGGTGGAATGGTAGAACAAGCAGTGTTGTTAAATTAAACAGGATTTGGCAAGCTGTGGTTTGGCATTGGCATTAGTGAATTTTAATCACCGCATCCGTTGCGGTGCACCATTTTGGTGAATTTAGCAACACGCGGACTGTCGGAAAGCGAGAAACGTCATTCGTCAGTCGAAAAGAAAGCCTATGCTATAGTTGAATCGTTCGGAAATGGAGACATTATTTAATCGGACGACCTTTTCAACTAATAATAGATCAACGCTCTGTTTTTTTTATGTTTGATGATAAGCATGCAGGAAAAATAAAAAATGATAATATTCAACGATGGCGGTTGGAATTGGCCTGTTACAAATATGAAATTGGAAGACAAAACAGAGTGGCTGATGCTTTTTCAAGGGTTTGTGCCGTTATAAATACTAAAGAAGAACAACCGAAACTGTTGAATCTGCACTACAGTCTATGTCATCCAGGTGTCACGAGAATGATTCATTGGGTTCGTGGCAAAAATCTACCCAGTTCTATTCATTACAATCGGTATATCCCAGACAAGATACCAAGAAAACTAAAAGAAAAATGCTCTTTACAAACAAAATAGGCGCTAACGTGGTAAATATTGATTGTCTTACAGTGTCGGGATATTTATCGGGTGTGTTTTATTGTCGCATTTTTAATTCCACTGTTTCTCAACAAGCAAGTGTTTGCACGATATGGTTGTTGATTTAGGCTTAATTATGTCGACACGTTGTCGAGAACTACACATTCATATGCTCAACGTTAATATATTGCATTATCTCCAACGACTGCATTTTATTGTTGCTAATAAAATTGTCTTCTACAAACCAGGAAACATAATTCCAACTAGAATTCCTCATTCACAAGTCCATAAAATCGAAATTAACACATTAATATTATTTATTTATTAGGCTGGGTTATATGATTTCTTAACCAAATAGAGCAGCATCATTTTTATTCGGTGTGAAAATAATGATATAATAAAACTGCTCCTATTTTTACACCACACATTTGACTCTTCTTAATCGTCAATTATCTTTGTACAATACAAATACCGATTTCTAATTCTCTTCAATAATTACATTTTTTAATAACTAGCGTAGGTTTGAAAAATAAGACAGACATGAATCATTATAGGAACACAAAGGTTCGGGTCAGGATATCGTAATTTACACACCCAGAAATCGAGTACAAAAAATAAATCCAACTGTAAATAGATGATCGTTATATTGTATTTGTTTTTTTATAAATCCCCTTCTTAATTTTGGCGGGATATTGTTTGATGGATAATTGAGCCATGTTCGTGGTAAGTATACATCAAGTGATTTCCAAAAACCGCTTTGTAATGTCGATACACTTTTGGAAACATTTAGGGAATATGTGAAAAACATGTAAGTAAAAACGTATAAAAGAAAACTATGATAATACAGAGTACCAATACAATTACATTAAATTACCGCAATACGCAGTACTACAAAAGGAGTTCTGCGAAAGTTATGACTGTTATGAGAAACCTCAGGCGAAGAGAACCCTACTGATGGTGAAATAAGGAAATCATCAAGGAGGATAATAGGGAACTTGCACATTTTTTTTTTATTTCAAAAATGTGTTCTACTACACTGAAAACATAGTCATACCAAATATCAAGCATTAAAAATCAGCCGTTAGTTTTTTATAAATATTTGAAGTTACGCTCGAAACATCGCCCTTTGAAACGACCGATTACTGTGACGTCACTCGGCAACAAAATTCCGATGACAGTGACGAGCACTTCGAACTTCGAGCAGGTAGATTAGGATTATGGTTATGTTGTTATGTATGCAGTTTCTGATAGATTTGACATTGGCAACACCAGCAGCACATGACGTGGCAGCGGTGCAACCCGATTATTACTGCCTTGTGACGTCACGACCCATAGAAACACGTTTTTGATCGCGTCATGAATTTCAAATTATTTGGTATTTTCAATTGATATTTCGGACACCAGAGATATTATATTTTTTTCTTAACTGCATCATTTATTAGGATGATTATTATTGTGTTTTATTATTTATTCCATATTTAATTAAATGTGCAAGTTCCCTATTAAGCTCATAGATAAATGGAATCAGTATTTCGCAAAACTGCTAAGGTCTTTATGTATGCCCTGATTCTTAACTCCAAATTTGAAGTTCAACATGACAACAAACACCGATTGTCCCATGGAACCTAGAATCTGTTCACAAAAGTATCACTTTTACTTTCACTAACAATTCTCACCTGTCATAATAAATTTGTGCTCCATGTAAATCGGGTGCCCTTCCCGGTACCAAACGGGCACTTTGCGTAGGCCTATGCTGTCCTCTACATCTACAAGGATCGTGTTTGTCCAGGTAATGTGCCAAAGTGTCCCATCCGCCACCCACACGAACCATTACGTGTTTCCTGAGGATCTACATTTCAAAAAGTAGGTAATGAATGATCAAATTGTTACCCGTGCAATAATCGTTGTTAATAATATCTTATTTTCTCCTACTTAATCACACGTTGTTTATTTCTCATGATCTCGTTTGTCCCTGCCAATTAAAAATCGTTCAATAAGCCTTGAAGAAATAGAAAATCCGCCAACAATGGTTTAATAACAATAATTATTCAGTCAAATGATCTGGTGTATTTTCCTGTGTGATTTTTCCCCTTCATTATTATATGCCTAAAGGATTATGTTATATTGGATCTGTTTTTCGCATTTGATACCGTTTCTGATGGGCTGAAATCTGCACTCGCCCCGTATATGTACAGAAATTGTAAGTTCTTGGAAGGAAAATGGAAAATTCAACAATAAACATTATTAGAAAGTCAACACATAATTAATCTATCAGAATTTGATTAGCCATTATTCGTGGGCGATAAAAACATTATAAAACTGAATAATTACTTTTATTTTAATTCTATTATGGCGCCGGAGGACTTCCTTTTATAAACGGTTCTTTTCTGTTTTACATAATTTAAGTTATCTTTCCAAATGGTTTATGCCTATACGTGATCGGTTTTTGAAAATAGTTCATGTTGAAACGACTGATATAAATCGCTGATGTCTACATTATACGCATAATAACTAAAAAAATGCACTACAAAGAAAGCGGCACGATTAACATTGAAAATAGGCCCCCGTGAATTTCAACCAAATTTCAATATTTTAAAGGTATCATCATTGCAAAAAAAAAATTGTAATGTAAAGAGCAGGGCCGATCCTAGGGTGTCGGCCGCCCGCGTGCAAAGAGCAATTGTGCCGCCCCATAGAGATATCCCTCCGTACGCGGGCGCCGCGCCGGCGGTGGTAGCCCGCCGGAGACAGAATTTTTTTTTTGGGTGCCACGCCCAAAAACGTTCAACATACTCTACACAACATACCCACCTGCACTTGGGACCAAAAAAGTTGGTTAAATTGTTAACAGAGTATTCACCTAGTGCTATTGGATGGTTTGGTTAGTAGTTATTCTTGCAGATAAGGAACAAAAATGAAAATTTTGAGAACACAAAGCAATAGTATTTATTCAGAAAATATTTCAAAAAATGCAATCCAATGAGGGCTGTGTAAATGAGACTTCACTGTGAAAAGCAAAAACATTAATGAGCCAAGCCAACACACTGACTGTGCACTAAACTTTCTTTTTATGCTATCGGGAGATCGGGGCTTATTTTGATTTTTCAGGAGTTTTTTAAAATTCAGCTCAGGTATTTCTTTATCAGAAGTAGTTATTGAGAAATTCGTAAAAAGTGTCACTTGAATCAACGCTTGAATCATGAATGACAGAACTATAGGCGGCCTGCGGCCGCCCCTAGATTTGGCCGCCCGCGTGCGGGGCACGTGCTGCACACCTGGCTAGGATCGGCCCTGGTAAAGTCGATCGTATGTCTGTGACAGTGGCGTAACTTCAAATCCGGGCCCCCCGCACGGATTTACCCAGGGCCCATCTTTTATATATTTTATTTATTTTTGTTCTTCTTTAGGATACAGGGTGTTCCGCGACGTTTCACCCAGGTGATAACTTCGTAACGCGTCATCCAATATAATTGAAATATTGAAGATCTGTGTAACTTTTTGTGCCGGTTCTGCATGTGTCATCCAATTTCACCACTTTATTTGCTTCAATTTTGGTCAAGTGAAGGCAGCGTTACATAGAATATCAAATGTAATATATGGTATATAAGGTATGGCATTTTCCACAAAATCGGCAATGCCATATTCAGTAAGGCTTTGTTGAAGAAAATGATAGAAAATTACAAAGTGGATTCGCATTCGATGACGCGTTACGAAGTTATCACCTGGGTAAAACCTCGTGGGATACCCTGTATATGAACAAATAAACTCTTGTATTCTAATATACCTAAATCTATAAGAAAATTTTGGATTGATTTTCTCTGCTTTTTCATCCATAGACGCGTTTCGACCTATTATCAGCGGATAATAGGTTTTCCTATTCTGGGTTTGCCCACGAACTGAATTTTGGTCGGCCGATTAGATAGTCAATCACTAAATTACAGCAAAAATTGCTGTTTAGTGTTGAATCTTTGTCTTAGATGGCGCCACGATCAAATTTCGACCATCGTACTAAATCTATAAGTACATATTTAATATGTATACAGTGTCCCCCATAATGTTCGCTACATATGGGGAATTTTTTTATTCGTAGGATATGGAATTTTTTCTTATGTGTGATCGATCCTGCATATCCGATAACCTAAAAATACATTTTGACATTGGTCACGTGATCACTGTTGTGGCGGCAAATTCGAAAATTATTGATTAGCACATGAAACTTTTCTGTAACAATACCCTGTATCTGGACAGTTAAGTAAGGTGTTTTAGACCTGTATTGAAATATTTAATGAAAAATCTCAATAACAAATATTTACAATTGTTGTATCAACATTAAGTTATTGGAAATCTCAGAAACTGTCAAGATATAGGGTATTGCTACAGAAAAGTTTCATGTGCTAGTCAAATATTTTTATTTAGTCCTCTAGGAATCATTCCAATCAAGAATTATAGGCTATGGTCCGAATATAACCAAACGTTAACCAAAGTAACCGAATCGGTTGACAGATGGTTACTGAAAATTCCGGTGACTTGGGGAACGCGAATATGAAATAAAAAATTAATGATAAAATGTACATATAAAACCAACAGAACCGACATTTAATAGCCGGTAACTATTTTGACATTTGGTTAACCAGATTTCAGAAAACCAAAGTCCAAAAGTAATCAATTTTTCAGGAACCAGAATAATTTGATTACTTTCGGACCGCGAAACCACAACCTTGGTTATATTCGGACCACAGCCTAAGTTTGTTTCACTAATACACTTTAAATATTGAGATACTTGGACCAGGGCCGCCGCTACCATGTGTGCGGTGTGTTCAAAACACACAGGCGGCAAATTGAAAGGAGCGACCGATTGAAAAGGGTTTCCGCCACCGATGTTGATGCAAAAAAAATCATGCGCCCTACACGTGGCAGAAGTGAAACTTCTTAAAAACTATCCCCCCTCATACAACTTTTAGACAGCGCCTGAGTTAAGGTAGGAACTGAAAAAAACACAAAAAAAGTCCCGCATCTGTAGTGACGTCACAAGGGTATCCGCGCTTGACATTCATAGGCAATCTTCCTTACTTATAATCCTAGGTTTGTGTCAATCGTTCGTCGGCTGTCATTATCATTAGCTGTTTTTCTCCGTCTCTCTACGTTTTATCATTCTTCCTATCGTGTCATGAAATTTCCCAAATCGTGACGCGTCTTTCAAATCACTCTCCATTCTCGTCCAATTATCAAATCGCCGCCTAAGAAGTTTTCACTTCAAAATAAATTAAACCCATCATGTTTATAGAATGTTCCGGGAATGTCCGTAGAATGTTCCAGGAATTTTCATAAGAATTTTCTGATATTTCATGAGAATTTCGTTTAATTTCACAAAAATTTTTCAGAATTCCACTGAAATTCTTATTATAGAATGTTCCAGGAATGTTCATGGAATGTTCATAGATTGCACACCAGAATCCCCTAAAAATTCTTCGGAATTCTACTAAAAATTCAATTAGTTGCAAAGAAATTTTCTGTATTTTCACAGGAATTTTTTGGAATTCCAAGTAATTTCACACTTTTGATAGTTCATGAGTATTTCAGGTTATTTCACGTAATTTTTTTTTTGGAATTCCACTAAAATTCTGAGTTATTTAATAAAAATTCCTTTAAATTTTGCTGAAATTTGAAAAATAATTTCACGATTTTTTTTCGGAATTCCATAATTATTTATACGATTTTTTAAGTAATTTCTTATGAATTTTTTGGAGTTTCACGAGAATTTTGATTCATTTCACAGGAATTTCTTCAAATTTTGTTTGATTTCCAAATAATTTCGGGAGAAGTTCAAGTAATTTTATTTTAGTAAAATTACCCAAGAAATTTCAGAAGAATTTTTTGGAGTTTCGAGTAATTTTACAGGATTTTTTCGGAATTTCAATGAAGTTTCAAATATATTATTTCTTGGAAATTTTTTCGAGTTTCTAGTTATTCCGTAGGAAGGGTTTTTTTTCAATTCCACGGGAATTCCAAGCAACTTTGAAGATATTTGCTGGAATTTCAATTTTTTTTTTTAAATTCCACTAAAATTTCGATTTACTCTACAGGAATATTGTTAAAGTATTATTCACAAGAACTTTCCAGAATTTCACGAGAATCTCATATTAATTATTATTTCAGAATTTCACTTAAATTTTGAGTTATTCCACGGGAACTCCATGTAATTTCACGAGAATTCTTGGGAATTCAATATAAAATTTAAGTAATTTCACAAGAATTTAATGTAATTTACGAAAGTTTTTGCGATTTTTTCTTTCAATTTTATGAGAATTCCAAGTGATTCCAAGAAATTCTTCAAGGAATTCTTCAAAATTCCACTGAAATTACTAGTAACTTTAAAGATTTTTTTTTGAATTTTACGAGGATTCCATGTCTACAGGATTTTTTTTTTGAAATTTAGCGTACGTAAATATTTTGGAATTTCATGGGAATTTTCTGGAATTTGACGAGAATAACTTAAAATTCCGGAGGCATTGAGTCGAATACTTGGAAAATTTTATCGTAATTCCTTCGCAGTATCACATCCCAGCAAACACGGAAAGTCAGCCGCTGCGCAAAAACTGTGATACTGTGCTGTACTTGTTGTACAGCGATGTAGACGAAGCAGCTGCATCAGCCCGGACCATATATGTCCCACCCGGCCGGCATCTGGCGCTGCACTGTTCATGCTGCATTTGAGTACAGCCACTGTGCAGTAGCTCTGTCTCTTCATTAGGCAATTTTTACACAGCAATAACGCAGCGCTCTTGCAGACGTCGTACATATTTGTTTCGCAATAACTGTGCAGCCAATATACCGTTTAGGTATATTTACCTGTGGCACTCTAAATTTAATGGACATAATTTATTTTATATAGACAGGATATTTTTGAAAAATGACAAAACAAATTAAAGTATATAGAATATATTGAGCAGTGGGACATTAAACAATAATATTCCTTATTCGTTAACCATATTTTGGTGGCTTTTTCAGCTTCTGATTGAGACGCATTTTGACTGGCTCTATTTTTTCTTACATCGACTAAATAAGGACAAAATTGAGTTAAAATTTAAAAACCGTTTTACCTTGCATCAACTTACCTAAATTGCTTTATTGATGTTGATATTATAGGTATATTCTGAAAATTGTACTTTTTGAAGGCGCCCTAAATTGGCACATTTCTTTACAGTAACTGCACTAACATTTTACAACAGTTGTTGCATCAATATGCGCATGGGAGATCGAAATAATCTATCGCTTTTCCAATACAAAATCTGCAAAGCCGCTGCATATCAAATACTGCACTTCTAAAATACAGTATTCCCAATACAAGTGCTGCGCAGCATCGATAAAACTATTTATGTGCTGTATTTGGGCTGTGTTCGTGATACAGCAACATTACAGCGCCGATAAGTTGTGTTTGTTGGGATAGTTCTAAATAATTTCAGAAGAATTTTTTAAAGTTGCCTGAAAATTTAATATAATTTTTACGGGAATTTTTTGGAATTTTACGAGAATAACTTGGAATTCCGAGAGAATTACGTGGATTTCCGGAGAATAGATGCAATTTCATTGAAATTTTTTCGAAATTCCACATAATTTTACCGGAATTTCACTGAACTTCCAACAAGGATTATTTAAAATTTCATGTTATTTTAACAGAAATTTTCGAAGATTCCAGGAAAATAAATGGAATTTCATCAGGATTCCACGTAATTCCACTGAAATCCCAAATAATTTCACAAGATTTTTGATATTTGAGTAAGTTATTAGTAGCTTATTACTATTAGTTATTTCAAAATTCAGCGCAACCGTAACGACGGTGTCAAGGTCCCTGAAATGTACATACTAGAAAAATTCTTTTTTTTTAGTAATTTAAATATCATATTTTTTTTTTGGAATTTCACGAGAATAATTTAAAATTTTAGATAAATTACTTGGAACTCCAGGAAAATTAATGGAATTTCATCGGAATTTCATAATTTTACCGAAATTCTGAATTTTAATGGGATTTGGCATATTTTTATGGAATTTTTATGGAATTCCACATAATTTCTATGGGTTTTTATGTAATTTAATTGAAACTCAACGATTTTTTTGGAATTCTACGCCTTTTTCCAGAATTCCTTTTAATTTTACTGAATTTTCGCATAATCTTTGTAGAATTTTGCATAATTTCTATAAAAATCATGTAATTCTTTTAAAATTACACGTTTTATTTCCCTATGGAATTCAGCATAATTTCCATCAAATATTGCATATTTTTTACGGAATTTCATTTAATTCTATTTAATTTTACTGAAATTTCACATAATTTCTACAGAATTTTGCAAAATGCCCATAGAATTCCATGTAATATTTCTAAAATTAATAATTTTTTCTTTGGAAATCCACGTCATTACTCCTTTAATTTCACTTGAGTGCCGCATAATTTTGATGGAATTAAGCATACCTATTTGAAATTCTATGTAATTTCAATGGAATTCCTCTTAAATTTTAGGGAATTCCTATAATTTCTATGGAATTCCGCATAATTTTTATGTTATTTTGCTAAAATTTAACATTTTTGAAATGTGTTGTCACTTCTCGGATATATAATGGAAGTTAAATGGAATTCCATGTCATAACTGGAAATTTCAAAAGAAATTACAATACATTTTCGCATAATTTCTATCAAATTTCACATAATTACAATATAATTTCGCATAATTTCTTTAACATACACATCATAATTTAAATGGAATTCTGCTTAAATTGCCCATATCGTGTTAAATTTCGAGCAAATTGAAATAAATTATATATCATTGGAAAGAGCATTAAATTCTCTATAAATTTGTGTAGAATGGAGTTTGATAGCTCAAATAGTTTTTAAGCAATTGACCGTTAAAGTTGAGTTTTAGTCCAAATTTTGTCAAAAACTTTAAACTCAATTTGCTCAAAAACTATAAATCTGGGAATATTGTAAATTACAGGCCATTCAGAGCTTAAAAAAAGCTAGAAATGCTGAAAATTTCATTGCAATTTGCTCAATGGTTACCGAGCAATCAAGGTTTAAAGATTTTGAAATCAGAATTCAAAGGGGGTACCCTTATAAAAACTCGATTTTTTGGAGTGAAACTTCTAGGCGGCGGCGGTCTGATATTTGGACGAGAATGCAGGGGCGGATGGGCCCACCGGGATACCGGGAGATTTCCCGGTGCGCCGGTCCTTCAAGCGCCGACAAGCGCCGCTGCTGGAAATTCTGAAATGATTGAAAAAGCAAAATAGCCAGATAGCTAAAGCAGGTGACACACTGGAGAAATAAGTTTCATGAAACTTGATGCAGGAAACAGGAAATTTGTTCCATCATCATACGACACATACCTACTCAAATGAGGCGGAGCGCTGAGCACATTGGCCACACAATTTCTGCTCTCATGTTTCAGAAACGCCTGTGTACTCCGCCTCATTTGAATGTATGTTGTGTTATGTGATAATGAAACAATTTTCCAGTTTCTTGCAACAAGTTTCATGAAACTTACTTCTTCAGTGTGTCACCTGCCTTTATTAATTGATTTGGCAGTTTTCAACTTTGCAACTCTTGAACTCTGTAAATCATAGTTATGTATTATATAGGTACCATTACTAATGTTTTATATTCATGGCACATATTGCCTCGCTTGCTGTTCCGTTTTGAGGTATCTCCGCGTTCGTCTTTCTATCATCCTTATGCATGCAAATGGAGTGGAAACACGACCGGTGCAGCGCAGATTTTCAGCAGTAGGTAACTTCATCAGGTCTGTTCCAACCCGCCTAAAAACTCCATACGAATTTTAAGTTTTACGCAGAATCTTGACGGTGAAATGTATGGTTCATTGCTGGGTTCGAGGTTCGAGCAAAGCTGTCGTCTTTATTCAACTCAACAAAAGGGTGTGCGATCGCTTGATTCGTTGGCACCAACGGACACTGTCCAACGACTATGATGACGCATTTCTGCAAATGTATCATCTTCGCCTCGCAAGAAATTCCATAATAATGGTAATGAGTTTCATGCTTTTCAATTTTGTTTTTCTGGAGAGGCGCGACGCCGTTTTAATCGTCTTCCCGCGCAGGTCTAAGGGGCTCCATCCGCCCCTGCGAGAATGGAGAGTGATCTGAGAGACGCGTCACGTTTTGGCAAATTTCGTTACACGAGAGAGAAAAATAAATAACGTAGAGGGACGGAGAGAGACAGACAATGACAGCCGACGAACGATTGACGCACAAATCAAGGATTATAAACTATTATTGTTAAGCGCCGATACCTTTGTGACGTCCCCATAGATGCCCGTCTCTCTTTTGTGTGGTCTCTCCTTTGTCTTTACCACGGTCCTCATACGTTAAGGTTTTGTATTTTAGATGGGAGTAAGGCGGCGAAAATTGTCTGGGCACACAGGCGGCTAACACCCTAGCGGCGGCCCTGACTTGGACTATTTCAATAATAAAAATTGTATAATGATAGGTATTTGACAAGAGAGCCATGGCTAAAAACAAGTAATTTCCTGTTTTGTGTTATTTATCGTCCAAATTTCGCTGACAGCCTTAAAACATCGTTCTAATCACTTCTCACAAATAACTTTATTCGAAATTTTGCCATCTAACCCCACTTTTCGCGTTGCCGCCACAACAGTGATCACGTTACCAATGTCAAAATGTACTTTTAGGTTATCGGACATGCAGGATCGATCGCACATAAAAAAAATTTCATATCCTACAAATAAAAAAATTCCCCATATGTAGCGAACATTATGGGGGACACTGTATAATATGCACATGCATGTAAAATGTAGTAGAATGGAACAAAGCTTTTATTTCCAGTTTTTCAAAAACTCGTTTAAAAATAAGGAACCAAAGACAGACATAAATGAAATTTTGTAAATAAAAAAAAGGGAATATGGGAAAATTACGAGCATATGTATAATAAAAATAGTAGATGAATATAACAAACCGATAAACATAAAAAACATTAATATATTCAAAAAACAAAAATATAAAAATATAACATATTGTTACTTATACGGGTTTGCAGATAAGTGAGACTACTTTTCCGAACTTTAACGAATTTTATTAAACACAACCACGCGGTGCCCCCAAAACACGCCCCTCCTCCCGCGACTGCGGGCCCTTGGTTACGCTACTGGTCTGTGATAGCAAATATAGCTTGTCAAAGTATGTAGGTCCTGCTATGCTATGCATATGAAATACCTGAGAAAATAACCCTACGTAGATTTTCTTGAATATCTCGGAAAATACTAATCCGATTTTCACGTTTTTGGGGTTTGCATACCTACAGAAGGACCCCAAAAATGTCAAAATCGAATTAGTATTTTCCGAGATATTGAAGAAAATCTAGGTAGGGATATTTTTAATGCATAGCATAGCAGGACCTACGTACTTTGATAAGCATTATCTGGTATCACAGACATCTTCTTCACATTTCAATTTTTTTTGGCAATACATATTTAGCTGAAATTCACGGGGGCCTATAATTTCAATTTCAATGTTATCGTGCCTCTTTGTTTAATTCTCTTGGAAACAAGTAATTCGATGATTATTTGAGAATAATATGAAAACTTACCCTAACGAAAATCAAAACTTTGGTATCTCCTATTCTGTATTTGCCTTCTGACACTCTGATCATGGGAAATTGGGTGGGACAAGTGCATAAAGCAACCAAATCTCGGACCTGTAACAAAACAAAATTTTAATATTAAAAAACTGGAAAGAAATATCTCAAAAATTATCGTCCGCATTACATAACAAAAACGAAAACAAACGACCATCGTTAGTACCTAATTGCCATCATATCATGATATTACGTGGCTTTATTATGCCCAATAAGTTTATCTGCATACTTATTGCATATTGCATTGCCGGCATGGATTGCTAAAATGCACGGCGCGGCTGTGGTCTAACATCCATAACGGCGGTATGTTATTTCGTTCCCGACATCCATAAATTAAAATTACTTTCACTGGAAATCGTGAAGATCATTAAAAGTGTGCTTTATTAATTCAAAAATTTTAGATACCATGAAAATGAACTGAGAAAGTCGAAATTTTAGAGTCCTCTCGTAGACACTTTTAGATATTTGTTTCATAATTATTATTCAGAAATAATTTTCAATAAACTATGAGTTAAAAAGTAGGCAAGTATAATAAAACTTCAATTAGCAATGGTGAAACTAGGCCCTAATTGAACAGCTAAGTATTTCAAATGCTTCTTGATTTCTTATCAATTGTGCTTGTTATAATCTTCAAAAAAATACGATTCCTCTTTTGCTGCAGTTGCATTTTTACTTTATTTTCATTTTACCTTTAATTATTGCGATTTTTTCGTTAGTTATGTCCGTATTTCCTCCCTATTTGAGGGAAACTACTTAGTTTGAAAACTGTCAGAAAATCTTGTGAGAACAGACCTTGAATATGCCCTTATTTTCAGTTCACTTGGTTACTTTTAATTCAATTTTAGAACAAATCCATTACGTTGCACTTTATTTTGAGAAGTAAAAGATCCATATTCTCAACCCAGTGAATAGTAAAATTTGCTGTAAAGCTCGATTCTTCAGAATTTCTTTTCTTGAATAATTCCTTATGTTTCTTTGAGGATTACCTACTTTTTCTTTGTTTGAACCAGAATAGAAACTTATATTTAATTTATATTTAGATACAAATACTATAATCAAGTTTAATACATTTATTGGATAACAACCTCATCGTAAGTGATTTGGGAGAAACTTTCTAGGTAAGAATACAACACTGTCTAGAAGACTATCTGGATGAAGTGTTTATAGATAGTTTTTTATTTATTGTTTTGTGCAATATTATTATTGTAATAATACTATTTTGAAATATGTAAGTAAATTATTTGTATCTTTCTTATTTCCACGCTTATTGTCTCCTAAACCTCCAATCTGAGCAGCAAGAAATCAGAAGAAATATAAGAAAGATCTAAATTCCCATCATTTCATAAAAGGTTGGTTCAATCAAGCATTTTGAATCAACTTCTATTTGCTTTTCCTTACTTAATTCAATTTTTTCATAACTAATCACTAATAGGTACCTATACCTAATCTTTCAGAATACCTACAAAATTGTGAAATTACTATTCTCTATTTCTTGGTTCTCATCGTCGAAAAGCAGTAGGTATCATATACTACAGGCAGCTGTATACCCAATTCAGGAGAATTTGCAAACAATGAGGAAGGCTACTTTTTGTCATTAAGCTCAGCCTTATTTGGCTTTTGTGTTTTTACATAGAGAATCGAAAAACATCTAATGGGGTTTTTGATGAAATTCCAATATCTAATGGAATTTTTGTGGTAATAACAAGGAGAAAATTGTTTGAGACATATTTCTCGTCAAAAATTCAACCAAAGTTATAGAGCCACATTACGAAACTAATAATAAATTCCTGTTACTTAGTAAACGGTAAAAGAACGGTTAGGCAGGAATAATCTAAAGTGACATTTTTCATGTTAGGTACTACCTATATAAGCAAAAAGGAATTTAAATTGTTATTCACATCATCATGCCTTAAAAAACCAAGTGAATTTTTCCTTTTTCAAAAGATGAAAAATGTAATATATATTTCAGAAGCTTATTATTTATATTATGTATATCATACACAAATAAAAATTAGTCTTCTTCCTGGCTACCGACATTCAGAAGGCGTTGAAACGGATATTGCACCCAATTCTTTTATATTTACTCAGTGTCAACACATCCATTGTCTTATCAGACAATGGGTCGTCTTTATTGTGATTATAGTGCGTAGCCCAAATAAGTTAGGCCGAGGATTTTAATTATTCTCTTGTGAAATTTGTTGGTGCTTCATGCAAACTGAAAATACCAATTAAGAAAGAAAAAATCCAATTTTCCTTTAAATCGGATTGCATCGAGAGAAAGTTTGGTTATTTCACTATTCAAAACTATAATAATAATAGTAGTAATTTAATTAATTAGAATTCCCTGTGAGCAATTTGGAACAATAACTGATTGAGCAAATTCGAAACACCCTGTAAAACATTCTAGGCTCGATTGTCCTGATTCGCTGCCCACATATGCACGATTACGATTTGCATAAAAACTTAAATCGCGAGTAGTATGCATAAAATGCTCTCATTAGACGAGAGTAAAAACGTCGTTACGATTTTTTATTGTGTTTGTTTTAGCAATAATGTCTGAAATATTTATGAAACTGCTTAAATTATGGTACTACCTGGTTCTCACACGACGGTAGTTTTATAGCTTAACCAGTAGTAATTGATAATTAGAATTAAAATAGCAGAATTTCTTGACTTTAAGGCACCAGGAGTTGTTTCTAGATCAAAATTTCTTTTTCCTACGAGCGTGCGCAAAGTAGTACTTTTCCGCACGCATTTCCGGGCTCAAAGTTACACTTTTCCGCACTCAGTGCGGATACGGGCCTTATCCGCACTGAGTGCCGAAAAGTAATTATAATTGTCAAGCAACAATAAGTGCACCTGTCGACTTTGACGCATGATGACAAATTTTTCCTCTTGTTTCTATATCAGCAGCCAACATCTATACAAACACCAAATATAAATTAACTTTGACACATTGTCAGATTTGTTCTCTATTTATATGCAAAAATCTACAAACTTTTTCATCAAATTTAAACGCTTTAAGATGAACAGCTCTGACGAGGATTTTCTGTTATTTTTTTTTGTTATGTAATTTTTTGATAAATGCATAGGTTCCCTTCAAGTTAATTAAAAATAACAACAAATTATCGTTTTTTTTTTTTAATTTTTGTTATTACCTACCTGATATGAAGCTCGTAGGAAAAATTTTGTTCCTAACACGTGCGCAAAGTGTCTTTTCCGCACGCAAACACGTATCCGAACTCCGCTCCGCGTCGTTCGTATAACTGTGTTTGCGTGCGGAAAAGTAACACTTTGCGCACTTGTTAGGAAAATAACTATTTCCTACAGCCGTGCGGAAAAATCGATTTTCCGCACTGATATGCGTGCGGAAAATGAGTTTTCCCACACGGTGCGGTAAAACTTCTTTTTTGACATATCAGTGCGGAAAAAGTTTTTCCGCACGGCTGTCAGTGCGGAAAAATTTTACCGCACTGATATGTCAAAAAAAAAAGAAAAATTTTACATTTTTACGCCTGTAGGAAAAATATTGTACCTAACACTTGCGGAAAATATTTTTTCCTACGAGCGTGCGCAAAGTAGTACTTTTCCGCACGCATGACAGTTCTCAAAGTTTCACTTTTCCGCACTCAGTGCGGATATGAGCCTTATCCGCACTGGGTGCCGAAAAGTAAAAATAATTGTCAAGCAACAATCAGTGCACCTGTCGACTTTGACACATGATGACAAATTTGTTCTCTGTTTATCAGCCAACATCTATACAAACACTGAATATAATTAACTTTGACACATTGTCAGATTTGTGTTCTCATTTACATGCAAGAAACTACAAGCTTCTTTCGCATCAAATTTAAACGCTTTAAGATGAACCGCTCTGACGAGGATTTCAATTTTCTGTTTTTCTGTTATGTATGTTTTTGATGAATGAATAGGTTGGCTTCAAGTTAATTGAAAATAATTGCACAAATTATCGTTTTTTTTTTAAAATTTTTGTTGTTACCTACCTGATATGAAGCTCGTAGGAAAAATTTTGTTCCTAACACGTGCGCAAAGTGTCTTTTCCGCACGCAAACACTTATCCGAACTTCGCTTCGCGTCGTTCGTATAACTGTGTTTGCGTGCGGAAAAGTAACACTTTGCACACTTGTTAGGAAAATAACTATTTCCTACGAGCGTGCGCGAAGTAGTACTTTTCCGCACGCATTTCCGGGCTCAAAGTTACACTTTTCCGCATTCAGTGCGGATACAGGCCTTATCCGCACTGAGTGCCGAAAAGTAATTATAATTGTCAAGCAACAATAAGTGCACCTGTCGACTTTGACACATGATGACAAATTTTTCCTCTGTTTCTATATCAGCCAACATCTATACAAACACCAAATATAAATTAACTTTGACACATTGTCAGATTTGTTCTCTATTTATATGCAAAAATCTACAAACTTTCTCATCAAATTTAAACGCTTTAAGATGAACAGCTCTGACGAGGATTTTCTGTTATTTTTTTTTGTCATGTAATTTTTTGAGGAACCTATATGCATTCCTTTCAAGTTAATTAAAAATAATTAAACAAATTATCGTTTTTTTTTTTTTTAATTTTTGTTATTACCTACCTGAAATGAAGCTCGTAGGAAAAATTTTGTTCCTAACACGTGCGCAAAGTGTCTTTTCCGCACGCAAACAAGGTTTTTTGCACACATCTTTTGAAAGTGTGGATGAAGATAATATTTTCCTCTCATGGTCAATTTTGCATCCCACCATCAAACACTCTGGAGAATCTGACTTTGGTGTGGAAGCAATTTTCGCGAAAAGATCGATGTATTCATTAGTAAATAGAAATCACAAGAGCAAAAGAACACTGTGTGTATTGGTATCCACTGGAGGGATAGTTTGTTATATTTGCCCAGTTTGTTCAACTTGTCCAGGAATTCCCAAACCATTCTAGAGAGCTGATTATTGTGGAGCTCACTTTAATGGCTGCTTTTTGTAGTTTCTATCGAGATTGAACTCAACTCAATACAAGTCCACACCCAACCAGCTCTCTCCCTCGTGATTCTAGT